GTGGGCTGGGGAAACACTCCCAGGAGCAGGGAGGGAGCTGGGTGAAGCTTGCAAGGGGTTAGAGATCTGTGCACCAAAGCAACAGGCAGAGTTGCTTAATTGAAAAGGAATCTCTAGGAAATAGAGGAGGAGGATTCCTGAGGCTCCCACAGCTCAGGGCAGGCTCACAGACTGAGGTAACTGGAGGTGCAGACTGAGCACAGAAATATTTCACACAGTCAGGATGAGTCAGAAATGTTTTCCTTCCTACAGGTCCTTGCAGGGTGAGCTCAGCCGAGCTCCCGTGGGATCCCACACCGAGCCTGTGCTGGTGCCTGTGTCTGGCTGTGACATCCTCCTGCAGCACAGCACTGTCCTGTCTGTCCTCCCTCACTGCAGGAACATTCCCTTCCTCCAGCCTGGCTGCTTCAGTCTTCTCTGAGACACATATGAAACTATGAATAACAGTCGAGTGGATTCAAGAAATAATTAACAGCAAAGAGGATAGAAAAGAACCAGAGACTGAGCTACTTCAAGCCCACTTAAGAAGAGCGTCATACACACCTTGAAAGACAGACAGTGTGAGCAAGAGTCCTGTCATGGCCCTCGTGCAGCTTTCCAAACTCAGAAATGGTTCAGAATTTCAGGTACAGCCCAGCCTTGGCCTTCACAAGCAGGATCACACCAGCAGGCCTCACCTGTGCCACGGGCACACACTCCCTCAGGTGCTTTGTTGACCAAATGTATTTGCCTGAGGAGGAGAGAGAGGACATTAAAATGACTGGCACAAATCATCTAATACATAATAGGAGACAAGACAATTGATTCATAATATCGCATATAGCTCAATTAAAAAGTGCTTTTCCATCCCCACTGACCTCAAGCTCAGACGTTTTTAAGAAGATCTCCAGGTCTTTCGCAGGTGAGGGCAAATAAATGCACCCAATTCCATTTCTCTGATTTAAGCAATGTTGTTGCCTCTCTGCTGCCTCTTTGGAAATGTGCCTGGGTGTGGGGTTTTTAATTCAGAGTTTAAGTGGCTGTCTGAGGAAACCAAATGGTTTAAGGATCTACAAGACCCACAGCTATCAAGATGCACAACCAAAACACAGTTTACTAGAACTGTGTGACAAATGCAGACATTTGACATTGATGGGCATTTTCAAATCACATATTGCTTTCATTGAAATATTCATGCCCCCAAAAAAGTCAAACACAATCCCTTACAAAAATCAAAACATTTAGTTTTGACAGATTTTAAACACATATCCCTGTTGCCATCTGCATAAGTTTTCATTTGGAAGTTTATTTCAAATTCAGGTAAACTTTCCCTCTGAACTATACAAAAGTGTTCTTGAAATACTGAAATCCAAAATGAAGTGTTCGTTGCAGATCAAAGCAAATGCTTTCATCCTCCAGTAAGTTTCAAATACATTCCTGTCCATACCCCAAACTTGAAAAACAATGTTGTGACAAATTAACATTTTTTTCAATTAAAGAAAAGTGAGGAAAAACTTAATCTGGAGGTAGCAAGGGCAGCCTCTGGATCAAACACAGCCAGACACTCGTGGTGCCACAATTCTGTTCAAGCATCTGTCACTGGAATGACAGTGAAAAAATGACCTTTGTATTGCACATTTTGGTAACTAACTGCAGTCAGGCACTCGGAGGGTACTTTTCTCTCTCTTCTCTGGGGGTTACCCTCCCCAGGTTACCATCACTGTCTCACTGCACATTTTTGCAAGTCTCAATTAGCCTCCCACCTGAGTTAAACATTCCTGTTCCTGCTGCCTTCTTGCAGGAGAGGACTACTGGGGGGCAGAGTTTTAATTGCGACGCTGGAAAGGACATTACCCCGGACCCGGTGAACAACAATACACCATTGTCTGACAATTACAGAACATTTTAAAGAGGAGCATTGAAAGCCTGCAATTCCCAGGTAGGGCTGTGAGCCTGGAATTCCCACGCTGACGCCATGGGGGGATGTAGCTGCCACTGGAGAAACTGTGAAATAAATGAATGAGTTATATTGAAACTGGTGCTAAAAGAAAAGACTCGTAACCAGCACAAGACTGTTCATTATAAAAAAAAAAAAAAAAGAAAAAAAGAAAAAAAGTAACCAAAAAAAACCTCGAATAAACCTTCCTCCACATTTTAAACTAATGATGACTTTTAGGTATGGTGTAATTATAGCACCAGTGGGAACCCATCTGTCAGCCAACTTTCAAATGTAAAGGTTGTGCCTACAAAATGAACCCATATATTCCCATTAATTGAAGCAGTTGATTTCCAGTTACACAATATTAGTTTTAATGGTGAGACTTTTAGAAATCTATGGATTTCTTTTTGCTATTGATCTGCAGGGGGAAGGTGGCACATTTTAAACTGACTAGGGTTGGGAAGAGGGTGACATTGGTGCCAGCAAGGTTGTGGATGTAAGTGACTCTTAGAGCTGTCCCTAAGTTGGCATTAGAATAACCTTGGAGGAACGTTCTGTCAGCACAGCCCGCACAGCCAGAGCAGAAAGGATTAGCAAGAGAAATTTTGATGAGGGTATTTACTACTAATGACCGCCTTCAAAACTGCCTTTTATCTACAGCTTTTCAAAGCGTTTTCCATTCACTAAGCCTTATAAAACCTTTGTAAAATTGGTAGAAGATATAGAAATGCAGATATCTTTGTGCCAAAACACACAGTAATACTTTGACAGAAAAGGGCAGCAGTGCACACCAAACATTATTTAAAATAGGAATTGCACAGTGTTACAGTGATGCTATCTCTCTGTTAATTAGAGTTTGACCAGAACAGGGGAACAGTCCTGCTCTTCACAAAAATGGTGTGGAATAATCTGTAAATAGTACTTAGGGCTTCTGTTTTGTGTTGTAGCAGTAAGACAGATGTATGTTATGCAGTGATATAAAAAAAATGTTAAGAATATGAATGGCACCTGTTCTTTTATTGTAATGAAATCTGCTTCCCAAACTGCTAACCCCCAAGAGATGAACAAGTGAGTCAGACAGACCTACTAAACTGATGAGCTGAAAACCCTGAGATTTAAAAAACAATAAATGTAGGGTCTTTTTTCTTCTTCCTTTTTTTTTTTTGAACCTTTACAGTCATATTTCCATTCCTCTGTGGACTCAAGGAACATAAAGAAGGAAGGAGGGAGGGAAGGGAAGAGGGAGGGAGGGAAGGAAGGAAGGAAGGAAGGAAGGAAGGAAGGAAGGAAAATTGGTATTTGGATGCTCTGTTATGACTGTCATGATAAACAAAGCTTTAGATGTGGGGTTTTTGGTAAGTCCTTCCTTCCCTCCTTCCTTTCTTCCCTCCCTGTTCCCTCCCTCCCTTCCTCCCTTCCCTCTTTCTTTCTCTACACGCTAATTCAAATAATGCATTAAGTCTCAGTGTTGCTGTTTAAATTTCTGGTTCTTCGAAGCCCCCCCAAATTCAGCAGTTGCTATAGGAGCAATGTTTAAGGTGTATCAATACCATTAGTCTGTCCTATAAAAACACAAGGAATTTAACAGCATTTAAGTGAAGGCTGCCAAAAGAACCAATAATCTGTGGGAACTCTGAAGGTACCTGCACGTGTCAGTGTGAGTCAATGTACTTGGAAAAAAAAAAGTAGGAGCACAGTTTTATTTGGAAATGACAAGCTTCACAGTATCTCTGAATATTTTTAAAGGGAAAGACATGAGAGATAATGCCCAGGATGACTTGGAGATCCAGCCATGCCCTGCTCAAAGGGCTGCAGGGCTGTTCAGCATCAGTGAGTGGTGGAAGCTCCCTGCAGGGATCAGGAGATGTGGTGAGAATGAAGGGTCGTTGTCACAGTGAGTAAAACATGCATCCACTTTGGGTGGCTGCCAGGAAATTTTGTTATTTAGCTCGTTTTCCTACCGCTTTATCATTTTGGCTCATTAGAGCAGCCAGAATTGAACTCAATTTATAAATAAATAAATATTTCTGCCAGTTCAGTGATGCAGAAGAAAGCTGGATGAGCACCAGAGACGGTACACCGAGAGTGTGGAGGAGGGTGAAAGAAGGCTCTCTGTGGCTCCCCCCATAACATTCCTAATGGTTTGGAGAGAGAATGTATGGAAATTTGCTCTTGAATTTTTGGAGGATGTGAAAATCCCCACTAAATTAGTGTAAAGACCTGACCATACCAATAATGATTATAATACAGTTGTTATAAAAATAAATGAAAGCTTTCTAGGTAACTCAACTTGGAGAAGTCAGGTTTTTGATTTCTTAGGGCTGTAAAGCTGCAAAATTGTTGGGAACTTTGTTGGGAAATGGAATTGGGAGAAAATTGTTGGGAAAAAAGGAATCACTTGTTGGGTGAGAAGCAGCACCCACATTCCTGAGTGGAGTTCAGTTTGCAGTCGTGTTGATTAAAATATTCCCATTCTTGGTTAATCTACTCTTTAACATCCTGGCTCTGCCCATTGAAATTCACTGCAGGATTTTTTTCCACCCAGTTTATTTCACCGTATTTTCAATTATTTACATAGAAACCAAACAAATTAGCAAACAAAAAATTGCTTAGTTTCACAAGAAAGTGAAAACCTTCAAAAACGTTCATGGAGCACAGATACTTTTACAAGGAGAATGTTGTGAAATGCTTTGGTAAAAAAGGACACAAGATTTAGGGTTCTTTTGAAGGCTGCATGAGACACCAGCAGAGCTTTGAAGTCTTTTGAATGCTTCTTTTATATACCATTGGCACACAGCTCAGTTAAAACACTCAGCTAATTTTTAATCAGATATATGAAAAAGCATAGAATAAGCATGTGGATTTCTTTTCCAAGGCTTGTTGGCTATCAGAGTACTGCTGGAAAAAGGCAGCTCCATTTCAGTACTTAATGTGCCTTAATAACTGCATGACCACAAACCATTAGGTTCTTCATCTGATAGGTGATTAATTTTCAGGGAACATATGTTAAGAGAATAAAATATTTTCCCAGACCTCCTCCCCAAAAAGTTCTCACAAAGGAATGTCAATGCTTCGTATTTACTGACAGAAAAAGAAAAAACAGAGATGAAAAGTTAGAAGAAGAAGGTTTAAAAAATTATTCCAGCAAAACTAGTTCCAGTGTTTCAGTCAACAAAGGGAAAACAAGTATTTTCCTAATTTCTGGAAAGTTCTGTAAAGTAATACAGTGGTTATGAGGAAAAAAATATTGCAACTAACTCATTTGTGAGCATGAAATGCATCATTGCTGTTCCCTGACTTCTGAAGCTGAGTAATGCAGGTTCATAAAATGACTAAAGCTTGTTAAGAATAGAAAAAATTATTTAATCTCCTTTAAAATCAACAAAAATGTCATTATGAGGACCCCTCCCACATCCTGTCTCAACCATCTCTCCAGGCAGCTCAGTGCTCAAGCTCCTCGGGGGGGAGGGGGGGCTGACGCTGAGCCTGGGGAGGGCAAGGACAGGATGGGAAGATTTTTCTGCCCAGACTCTGTAGAGAATTTGGCTGCCAAGTAATAACAGGTCTTCATTGCCCATCTGCAAACTGAGATTGATTCCCCTCCTCCTCCTCCTCAAGTCTTTGACATCTTCTGCATTTGCATGGGTTTTCTTAGGGAGAGCTCAGTGATGACATGGTTATTTTTCCTCCTGCCAGTTCCCACAGCCGAGCTCCACATCTTGGCAATGCTGAAATTTCATAACAAAAGCAATTGTCAGGATTCTTTTAATCTTAGCTCGAACAATTTCACTGAAACTTCTCACTTACTTCATTCCTCCAAAAACTTGATAGTTTTTTTTTTTCTAACTAAACCGGGAAAAAAATTAGTCTAAATAGTTTATCTTGGACAATTTATGAATGTTTGTGTGAGTGTCCATCCAGGGTGGATCTTCAACGTGAAGTTCCAGTACTGTCTCCAGTTTTATCGTTTAAAGACAGTTCAACAGGGTTTTCAAGAGTGTCTTATGTCAATGCAAATGTTTGAAAAATTATGTACAACTAAATCTGTCTTTAAAACTCCCTCTTTATTGTGTAAGCTTTCAACATATGGACTTAAATATCAGTCATCTGAAGTCATCTATTTCACCTGTCTCATTAGAGGATTATATGTAACAGCTATAAGAATATAAGGGTTATATAAAATTGTATCCACTATTTATGTATTATTGTATCCAACACATATGTCCTTTCCATATGGGATGTTCTCACTGTACAGAACATGGTCGGTTCCAAGTATAACTCAACAGAAGCATTCAACCTTTGATTTTAAAACTGTTACATCTCCACTTCAACAGCCCACGTTGAAAGGAAATTCCAGATTGTGGGGGGGAAATGGCTGCCAATCTGAATAAGGAGGAACATCGTCAGATGGCAGGGAAGTATTTGTACTAGTTGTATTAACAGAAGCAATGACCTTTACACACTCCAAAAGAAGCCATATGGGCCCTGGATCACAGCAACGGTTTGTCAAGAAAAACTCTTGAATCATTTCAAGTGGTGTTCAAACACAGCCATGAGAAGCCTGAACACAAAAAGCTCCTCCAAAATACGTCTCTGAAAGAGGGAAGATGCACCAAATTTTCAGGTAAATGCTATTTCAACCTTCAAATACTAGAGTAAAAATTTTTTTGCATAAATTTTGGCCTATCCATTGTTAGGGGTGGAAAACAGATGGACTGCAGTTTAGCTTTGCAGCAAGACTCCAAATTCAATTCTCTGGCTTGTTCTTAGAAGAGTTAATGAAAGTTGAATAATATGCACTGGCAGCCTCTAAAACCCTCTGTGGTTTTCTTTCTCTCTTCCTTGGCAGAGCGAGACCATTCTGCATTAAATTTGCATATGGCCACCTTCCTCCCTAGAGTAACTCCAGTGATTCATCTGACCATATTTCTGGGGAATATGTGCCCTAAACTTTAGGAACTTTGCCTTCATGGGCAATCTCCATGCTCCTTACAGCTTCTGCAAGTGAACCAGAAGGACCTGCAGAAGTGAGCAATGATTTAGTACTTACCTTATTTATTCATTAAACTGGTGAGAGTGATATTATGCTCCTCCATGACAACACTGATCTTTAACTGAAACAAATTAAACCCATACCATAAATTTTCCTAATGGAGAGTAATACACTGAGTTGTGGATGCTTGTGGCAAGGATATTAAGGGGGTACTCAGGGTGACAAACAGAACATGTTTTAATTGGAATCTAAAAGAGATCAAGAAAGAAAATATCGTCTTTCAGGGAGAACAACAACAAAAACCCCAGAGACAAATCAAGCCTGTAATCTTTGCTGGGGGTAGCATGGGTAGAGTAAAAAGAGCACACTGAATCCTGCTTGGAGAACCTCAAGGAGAGGAGGAGCTCTCATGTCAGAAATCAGGGCTAATGAAGCCTGCAAACATTTCAGTCTTCTGAGTTTAAATGGTGAGGGGAATTCAACCTGAAGTTTCTGAGAGAGAGGAAACTCTTTGCCAGACAAGTAACTCTGAATTTGGCCCATTAAGAGCAAGAGTCTTTTACCTGGTGAACACTCTGCTTCCCTGCCATTCCACTGTGAGCAGGGAAGCTTCCACCATTTGAGGATATATCATGTTTTATAGCAATGCTCGGACAGCACCGAGGCACTGAACCTACAGGGGAGCCCTGGAGCACAGCAGGGTTGGAAAAGAACCCAACAGAGAACAGAGTTTTCTAGGAATCTGTCACTCTTCTTAAAGATGAATGGGCTCATGAGAGAAAGGGGTTTTAGAGCTGCAAGATTATATTTGAAGTCAGTGGGGGTCTAGATGCTTTCCAATGTTGCACCCTTCACAGACCTACAGGGCCTGTGAATGGAGCTGTTCCCACGTGACAGGACACAGAGCAGCCCTTTCCTCTACCATGGAAAAAACCTTCTCCCCATATTGACCTCCCTGTCCTGGATGTGCTTTGGTGTTGGTCTCCACCATGGCAATGCAATCAGGGTGGTGGCTGAGGTGAGCACTGAGGGCTGAGTCCCTCTTACACCCTCACACACGCAGATTATCTTGTTTGTCTTGTATTATCTTATTTGTCTTCTATTTCTCTCCCTAAAGGACATTGTACCAATCAGACAAAAAACAATTTGCCTGAATCTTTTCTCCTCCCACTCTTCCCTGAAACAGTTTTCAAGACAAATACTAGTCAGCTCAGGGAGACCAGGGTGGTTGAAGGTGAACTCCTCCCCTTCCCCTGCTGCCTGGCCTTTGGACAGAGGCACCCTTCCTAGAAGTGCTTCTGTCCCGCCATTTCCCGACTCCCCAAAATGAAAAATGTTTTCTGGCCAGAGGGGTGGTGGGTTTTGGTGATGTGGTCACAGCACGTAGCTCTCCTGGCAGGTTCAGCTCTGCAGTTGGCGCCTACACTGCTCCCAGGGCAGCCTGGGGGTCCCATCCGCTGGGCAGGGAGCCCTCAATCTCTCAGCCACCAGTGACTATTCCAGTTTGTGACTCCCAGGAATATCTCATAAATTTTGCAGCCAAAACAAACTGGGAGCAAAGATAAAGTCTGTGGCTTACAGGAAAGGTCCCAGCCTGGGCTCGTTGAGCCGGGTCATTACAGTGACCTCCAGAGCTCCAAACAAACAGAGCAGCTGAGTGTTCCTGAACCTTGGCTCACCTCTGGTACGTGTGATGGGAAGGGGCTGTGTCTGCAGTGCATCACTGGCATATGGCTTCCTGCACTGCACTGGAAGGGTTAGTTTGGGTTCTCAACTTTATAGGTGCAGAGGGAGTCTAGTGCTCTTTTATTAGCATGACCCCATACTGACCTCCGTGCTAAAAAAAGCAGGGACTTTCATTTCATCTCATAATCCACCAAGGGCAAATAAACAGTCAGAAATTCTAGTCTTTCTTTTTCCCCAACTCTCATTAAAACTGTGGTCTCCGTTATCATCATGTAGACACTTTGCACTAGTTTTTTATTGCAGTCAAGTACAGATGCCCTTTTTATTTTGAAGCAGAGTTAATAGCAAAGCTTTTTTGCTAAAGTTTCTGATTATCTACTATGGCTGAGAGCACTTTGCCAGCAATAGTCTCCTCAGAATATTCAGGGTTATGCACAGCTTTTAATTCTTTAAAGAGTTTGGCGATAAATAGCTTGTGTATCCTATGATCTCATTTGAAAAGCAGCCAACAGATCTCTGAATGTGCTTGTCCACTTCTCCCACCACCAAGATGCTGGTGCAGCTTCAGGAAGGTGAAGCTGGTGATGTAAAAGCCATGTCAGTATTAAGGGGGTTTATAATGCACCCCTGGGCACAGCACAAAGCCGTGTGCACGTTCTCAGTGCTGCTCTGGCCGTGTGTTCTGTAGGGTTTCTGCTGAACTTGCTGCTCTGCATTTGGAGCAACTTCAGTCTTGCAGGTGGGACGGCAAAGGGAGAAGGGAGTAGCAAGACAGAAAAACAAATTCTCCTTTTTGATCTACATGCTGGAAGTGTTCAAGGTAGGTTGGATGGAGCTCTGAGCAACCCAGACAAGTGGAAGGTGTCCCTGCTCATGGCAGAGCGTGGAACTGGATGATCTTTTAATGTCCCTTCCAACCCAAGTCATCCTATGATTCTATGATGTAGTGGCTCTATAGTAGGTGCTGACATTGCTGGTGATTCACAGTGTCTCTTAATACAATGAATTTATGCTGGTTCTGTCTTTCTTTTTAAAAATATTGCAAAGCAACTCCTATGTCTTTATTTATTTTTCTATTTTTTTCATCCTTACTACACTTGCACATTGTTACTTACGTGAATGGAACAGTCTGTTCTTTTTGAGTGGCCATGACAAGAAAATACGTCTTTTTAGCAATTCTAAGTGAGGCACTGAGGTGTTATTGGGCGAACTTTTCTCCATGAGAGGAATCATACCTGACACCATGCACTTCAGAGCAGTCTGCAGTGCAGTGGCAGGGTGTGTAGGCACAGAGTGTTCGTGTTCCTTCATTGAACGATGTTTAAACACAGTGCGACGTAGCAGCTTCCAGGAGTGTGGGAGCACTTGGATTCCAGCAGTGTTACCTCATTAGACTCACTATTATGAGTGCTGCCATTTATTCACAGTAGTAAACATTGTGCTGAATAGTGTACACAGGATCTAGGCTTTAGAAAACAATACAATTATGAGAACTGAACAATCTTGAGAGATTGTGTTTAGTGAAAAGCGTCCTGGAGCTTTGCATGAAGCTGCAGAAATGGGCAGTTCATGGTGTTGTTAGAAACCTTCCCGAATCTTTTTTCCCCAGATAAAATTCCGAAAGAAATTAAATATGATTCATTAGAGAGCAAACCTGCAGAACTCAGGGCAGTCAGCCATTCTGTCTGACCTCCTCTGAGGCTGTTAGGAGGGTGATAGATGGCTGGGTGATGACAGTGTAGATTTCTGCTAAATCAATGGACAAGGTATGTCAAATTTCTACTCATTTCCAAGAGCTTCTGTCAGCCCCCACAAACAGCTACTCTTTCATTCACTATTGTACTATGCTGGAGCCACAGAACATGACAGAAAATCCTGTTCTATGAGTTTTTATAGTTTACCACATCCAACTTTCCATTTTAGAAAGCAAAGAATGTAAACAACAATTTTGCTTCAATGTCTGGGTAATGTGCAGCAGCTCCATAATCAATAATAGAAAATGTTACTGAAAGGCCCAATAGACCTCAAAGAGATAATGTGAATCGGCCATTAACAGTAAGTCATTATAGAACTTATTAAGTGAAGCCTTGGGACTGTCATAGAGCCTAAAGGTTGACATAAATTTTTCATACACATTGAACTTTGCTAAATGTGCTTGCATTTGATTAATGATGACTTTCTTCAGTGCCCTAATAAGAAGAAGGAAAATATGAGCTGGGGCTGCAGCAGGGAGAAAAGGCTCCTGGGAGGAAGGGCAGTGTTGGCAGCAGGGGAACAATGGGGTTTTCTAGAGATGCCCTGCCAAGCACGAAGGAGTTTATTACTCCCTGAAAAATTGCTCCTCACCACCCAGGGAGAGGGCACTGAGCACAGCATGTGGACAGGGAAAGCCAGTTTTGTAGTTGTGGAAGCGAAAACATTGTAGCTTCCAAACACCAACAGAAAATTCCGCCTCGAGTCCCCTTAAACCCTCCAAATATCACAAAGGACAACCAAAAAATCCACCCCCAGCCCCCTTCAGCCTCCACCTATCAGAAAGAACAATACAGAAGGCTTGGTACTTAACAAGGGACAGGAGTGGGGTGTCTGCAAGCCCTGCTGGGGATGGAGCTGGAGGAAATTTGCCTTGGCAGTCAAAGCAGTGAGTCACAGACTCATGGAATGATTTAGGTTGGAAAAGAAGACAACAACAGCAAAACAAAACCTCCACTTGCAAAAGGCCTGAGGAGCAGCATATGGATTTGTTCAATTAAAATAAACATGTTTTTCGCTTGTTTGAAATAAAAAAAGAAAAGGGAAAGCAATCAGTAACCTCAGTCCAAAGCAGTCACAAAGTCTAAGCCTCTTTCACTAACCACCAAAAATGCAAGGCATGTCTTAGAGTTAGCTAAGGGATAGCTTTAAAAAAACTACAGAGTAAGGGTTTTTTCTTCTTTCTAGTTTTTAAGGCTACTGAAGTTCAAACTTTTAAGCTTTAGTTTTGATTTATTTTAAAAAAGCACCCCTGTAATCAAGAGTCTGACAAACAGCTCCAGACAGGAGGACTCAAAATCTTCTCCTAGACTTAGATAGCTGAGTAATTAGGTATTGGTCCTGATTTTACAAACATAAAAGGAAAAAGAAATGCGGACAAGAGATGTGTCTATTCCTTCTCACCTCCTGGCAGGATGGGGTAGTAGACAGTTATCCCCATCACCACTATAAAATTTGTCCCTCCAAAGCAGATTTCCCCCCAGCCATGGATGGTGTTTCAGCTGTTGGTGTTCTTGATGCAGTTATGAGCTACTGCAAATGGACTAAACAAGTATGAAAAAGAAAAGAAAAAAATCTATCAGGTTTTGAGTTTGGCAGTTAGAGAACTCACAAGGACTTTGAAAATCTCAGGTTCAATTCACTGCCCGGGTTAATATTTAATTATTTATAGAACACAAATTGGCTTCACCCGAAAGTCTGAAAGACTCTTGAGAAGGACCTTTCTCTGACCCAGAAAGAAGTCTGAGTGCCACACACAGTCCATGCAAATCTCTCCCTCTTTGTGTTCCGTGTTTTCTCTCCACGGCGAAACACGAAACACTCCATGTACTCTGCAGAAACCCCCACGTGGGGAAGCAGTTGCCCCTGTCATGCAAAACCCTCCACCTCCAGGAGTTTGGAGGTCTGGGACCTCAGCAAAGTCCACTGGGGTACACACACATGAAGTCACTGTGTCATACACAGCAAAGCTCTGCCTGGAGTGACGGCGCAGCTTCTGCCCCTCCTCTGCTCTGGCGATTCTGGGGACCTAATTTTGGAAGTGGGGTTTGCAGTTAATTAAGGGAGGGAGTGAAAAACCACAGAGCTCAAGTTGGTGAGCATGCAAGGCCCAGGACTTTGTGCAGAAACACAAGAAACAATTTTTCAAATGACTATGAATCCATAAATTGGAGTTGGCTAAAATTGTTCATGTGACTTGGGTAATTGTAGTCAGCCCAGCTCGGTCAGATTGGAAAGATGCAAATTTGAAATTATCAAATGTAGAGGTCAGTGATATTAAATAATGGAAACCTTGTGCACAAACATGCTGGGCATGGAACTGGGTCAAACTGGTTGAGCCCCAGTCTCAGCCCAAAGGAATGAAAACAATAGCAGACGTCCAGAGACCTGCAGCTAATTCACTTTGACAAGTTCACTCATTCCCTTTCCCAAGCCATTCCTTTTTCTTCTCTCTCTTTTTGCTTTAATTTTATTTATAAATATAGAGTGTGACTCTGGTGCCAATTGTTCAACTTTACAGTAGCTCAGCATTTAGATCAGTGGCCAAAGGGGAAACCTACACAGGCCCTATGTAGATTTTTGTTTACTGACCCTTTCAATAAAAACATATCATTCCAAGAATGCTGCTGGATGGGGAAGACATAAAAGAATTGCAGGTGTTTGGGTTCCAGAAAGCTAAAGCTGCCTCTTTGTAAGCCTTATTTAAATTCCTATCCTCCACTTTCTCTGTGAGTTTATCAGATGCAACATGGTAAAATTCAGCATTTTGCCTTGTCAGTCAGTCAACAAAATGGAGCCAAGAAAACATGCAAGCTCTTTAGAAGCTTTTCTCAGCTCTGGTGTAGCAGCCTCTGTGGCAGGAGCTCACACAAGATCACATCAATGTTGATGGTGAGCTTGCAGGCTTGTACCCCTTAACATGGTATCTAGGACCGCTCGACATCATGGCAAGAACACGACAGAGGCCAATGTAAGAATTCCCAAACAAACCCTCCCCTTCCCTATCAGTGTAAGTTTGGAGAGTTCCCTTAGCAACCGGCCCTGCATTTGCATTCCTAATTGATTCCTGCCAGGGGTGAGGGCTGGTGCTCAAACACACTGTGGGTACTCGGGAGGCAGCAGCTCCTCAGCCCCGCTCAGGTGCCAGTCCTGGTGATACCCAGACAGACAGGGAGCTGAGGAGTTTTGCTCACACATGCACGCACCTCACAAAAAAATCACTCCTGGTAACATCCCATTGATGGTATTTGGAGGGGTTTTGTTGTATCCCCCTAAATGATGCCTCAGGCAGCACTTCTAAGAGGGAAAAATGGCCAAAACACCATCTGCACTTGCTGCTGTCCCTTGCCTTACCTGACTCAGCCGCGGTGATCCTCCTGTAATTAGGGTTTTCTTCAAGTTGTAATTAGTCTTCCAGTTCCTTCCACGGGTGTGAGGCTCAGTCCTTCCCTGAGCTCAGTCGGGCAGACAGAGAGACTGCGCTAAAGCAACTCGTGTGATTAAAGTCCTTCCCAGGTCGCTCAGATCCCGGGAACGCTGCGCCAAACTCCAGCCCCAGCTCCCGTGTGTCGGGACCAACCCGGGACTGCTGCGCTGGGCTGGGTTTATGCTCTCAGATTATAAACCTGAGACTCCCCGGCTGCTGTGGTGAAGTTTAACACAAATAAACGTCCTGTTCTTGTGCCAAAACACGCCGTGGGTTTGAGGTGCTGCAGACGACACACAATGAGAGTAATTCCCAGCATTTCAGAGGTGGTGTTGGCTGAGATTAGCAAGCCTAATTTAATAAAACACTATGTAATTGCATGTTCACTGGGTAGGGGGAAAAATAATCAAATGAAAAAGGACAAAACCAGCAGGGAAAGAAAATTTATTTCCAAGCATCTACGAGAGTGCTACAAACAGTAGAGACTAAAACTCAAAGCACTTAAAACTATTTAAAAAAATGTAGTTGACAATGTCCTTCTTAAAAATTAAACATAAAAATGTAAAAAATGCAGTTATTAATTCTAAAACTTGCTCAAAAATGAAATAAACCCAGACAGCATCAATGAGGATGGAGCCCTACAAATTACTTATTTTTTATTTTATTTCAATTTATTAATTTGTAAATTGATACTAATTTTTTTAAAATGTTTATTTAAATTTATAATGGAGAAATGTGCAAATCTAGCAAAATATTCTTTGGATTATAAACAGAGAAAAAACAACAACCAAAGAAATTTGAACCAAGTTAATAATAAACTATAGAATTATATAGAATGCATACAGCTATAAAAAAGTGAAATATTACAATAAACATTGTAGAGCAAATCTGCTGATTTAGCAAACCCTGCCTTATAAAACATGGGGATATAATGGGACAAGTGAATACGTTATGCATATAGAGCTGAAACACCAGTCATAATTTTAAGGAGTTAAATTTTAATCTAACTACATAAATGGGGGTCTTCAGAAAAGTGATACACCAACAAATCAGATTTCCTCTCAGACCAAGCAGTTTGGTACCTGACTGCAAATGAAGGACAGGGTGTGTAATATGAAGAGTAGGAAAATGTATATCAGTTCTATTTATTGCCTCTTCCCGTATTGCAGCTGCTGATCTCTGACCCTAAACAGCCAACTGTATTAAATTCAGCAGAAGCACAGCAGTACACAGATGCAGAAAATGTTGATGCACAGAACATATTCCAATCCCTTGCTTCTTCTGAACTAATAAAAAAAAATTATAGATCATTTTTTCGATTAAAAACATCCATTACAAAGCCCAATTCCCAAAGCTCTCTGTGTTTCTGCATTTCTATGGTCACAAGGTAAATGTGTTCCTATCCACAGATGCTACTGATAAAAAGAAAAACAAACAAAAAAAAAAAAAAGGAAAAAAATTAAAAGAAAAAAAAGTAAGTGCTGGAATCTTAATTACTACTCGGGTAAGGTAATTGTCAGGTAGAACAGTCTTTAGGGAACTTGCAGCTAAAGTGGGTCAGGTTTAAGTCTCTAGAACCCGCAGAAGCTTAGCACAGATAGGGGAGCTCACAGACCTGGAGTACATGGTAAGGACAGAGCACTCCTGTCCACCTACAAAGTCACTTCTGAGACCTCTGGAATTCCTAAGATATAAGATAAATGCATATTACATGGGGAATATTGAAAAGTATTACACTTAATTTAATCCAGAAAACACAGTAGTCTTCTACGACTATTCTTACTGTGTTCTGGGAGCAGCCACAAGCTGGAGATAGAGAGGGTACAAAATGTTCACCAGACGTTACATTTTTTTAATCTAAAAAACATTTGTAAAATGTACTTGATTTTTAAATAATCACTTAACAAGGCAACAAACCAACTACAAACACATAATAAATAAGGCTATTAAAAGGTCACAATTGTAGTAAATTAGTCAGAACTATAAATGGGACATTAGAAACACTATGTTTTTCCTTATATGCTTAATAACCAGAACAAGAATTAAAAAAGAATCAGTTTATTTCAAAGTCTGCTTCTTATATTGAAGCACATATTAAAGCAACAGTACAATGTTCATAAAATATAAGTGTGATGCCGTAACATTTCTTACATGTCAGAATACTGATATTTGTATGTATACTAAAATAAGAATTTTAAAATTGTACAAATAGATACATTAAAAATGACATAGAAATAGGGCTCCTCCCACTGCAACAAGACAGAGTTTTTATATCTGGCACGTATTAGTTCAAGATGAAAGTATAAGCAAAAAGATTTACAAGAATCAGCAGTAACAAGTTTGATGCTCAAGAGACATAATAATTGTACATTGTACTGTACATACATCATATGGGTTTAAGCTGGCTGAATATTATATATTTCAAGTTTAAAAATGCACTACCATATAGAGTGTCCATAGTTTAAGGCGAAATTACAGCTCAGAACTGTTATCTTTTCTAATCGTGGAAGCTTCTTTGATGTAAAAGATTTAGGTGTTCATAATACATAAAAGATTTCCCTTGTTTGTAGGTTCACTTTTAGCATTTTCCTTCATTTAAATATTTTGTATTTCTTAAGTGGGTTTTTTCCTTTAGTGAAGCTGGCAGCCAACTTCTAGATTTGCCTTTTGTAGGAAAAGGTATTTCACAGTATTTACCACTTTTATGTCCTTTTCTATCAAAGGAATCCTCTCTGTCAAACTTAAATGTTTAAATGAGATTTTTCTTGATTTTTAAAAAAATACCTGCTAACATTTCTTCTGGATTTTTCAGAACATCGGACACAGTTCTTAAGGCCAAATCTTAAACTTTATTGTTAAGAATCATCATCGAAAGTGTCTTTGGAGCCATATAAGTCTGCAAGTTTCTTAAATCGAGGTCCCCAGTTTTGTAGATAGTCGTAGTCCAAATCAGAATCTGTGGTCGCTGACTCTAAGGAGCTGAGTGACCCAGCCACTGAGCCTCTGCCCTCGTAGCCATAGATCTGGATGGAGTCATAGGGAGGAGCAGTGGGGTCGTTGTCAGCCTCCTGTATCCTCGTGTTGATGAAATCATCAACGTCCACGCTGTTGGGAGCCGGCCGGAGGCCCGGCCTGGGCATGTACTGGTACTCGGGTTTGATGTCCTTGCGAGGGATGAACCCATTGATGCCGTCGGGGTTCTGCAGCGTGGCAATGTCAAAGGCTTCCGTGTCCTCCTCACCTCCACCCTCATCATCATAGGTGATAATGTTCTCCCGCACGTCTTCTTCTTCAAAAACGATCAGAGGTTCTTTTTTCTGCCTTTTCAGTGTTACGAACAACACTACAATGACTAGAGAACAAAAAGCAGGAAGTTAGCCAGGACTCTCAAACAGCAGCTCCTTTATCAATAGATTGTTGCCCTCACTGAATCCTCGGCTTTTGTTCATCATGGCTCGTTGCCCACATCTGCATTTTTAGCACACCTTGCTAGGTAACAGCAGAGATGTTTGTACACAGAACTGAACATACTGATCTGAGGCTTCCTGTTTGGGCCGCATGCCACTGCTCTCGCTAATTGCTCATTACTGCAAGGCTAATTCAAGGAAAGCATTTGTGGGCCCCCAGTGCTGGAGGAACACAAGGACACTGCCTTTGAGCAGCCCAATCACATAAATATCTGCAACAAAGCAAGCTTGAATCTTTATTTTCTCCTGTATGCCCAAATCTCAGCTCCACAAGTCATTTCCATTAAAATGGAATTTTCTTAAGCAACACCTTCAAACACACTTTGTTGTTCTCACTTCAAATTTCTATAAAATAACTTTAAAATATGTAAGAAAAGAAAGACTATAAATTACTATGGGCAAATTAAAAAAAAATTATATAAATATTTTCAAGTCATCAGGAAACACTTCACAGCACTTTCTTAAAATCCAGTCTTCTGAGCCACTCATCTATCTTCAACACAAGAGGGTGTGAGGGGAATAGCTGACAGGAGCCATTAATCCTGGCTGACCTCAATAAGGAACTTGTCATCCAGGGAAGATCACAAAACTTAAAACTCTATGTCATGACCTTCTTTAAACAGTGTCCCTGATTAACTGATATTAGGCCACAAAAGGACATTCTCCAAGCACACCAAGACAAATTCACTGGTGTTTGCTATTGCAGTTTTTATAGAATTATAGACTGGGTTGTTGGAAGAAACTTTAAAGCTCATCTTGTTCCACCCCCTGCCATGGGCACAGACACCTTCCACTAGCCCAGGTTGCTCCAAACCCCGTCCAGCCTGGCCTTGGACACTTCCAGGGATCCAGGGGCAGCCACAGCTTCTCTGGGAAACCTGGGCCAGGGCCTCCCCACCCTCACAGCCAAGAATTCCTTCCCAATATCGAATCTAAACTTGCTCTCTCTCAGTTTGAAGTCATTCCCTCTTGTCCTGTCACTCCAGGCCCCTGTAAATAGTCTCTCTCCATCTTTCTTGCAGGCTCCCTTCAGGCTCTGGAA